CACTGGCTGCCTGGAGCAGAGGTCAAGAGACGCTGAGCAGGGGCTGCAAAGACTCATGCAACATCCCAGCACCATCCCAGCTCCGTCCCAGCCGCCAAACAGGAGGTGTGGGCTGAGCGGGAAGGCGGGTGGTCAGGGCATGCGCTGTGCGTGGTTATGCACTGGCATTACAGGCGGCATCTCGTTGATCTGTCAGTAAGCTGTGGGGTTGGCGTTGACACGCTCATCCGCATTTGAGGACAGGAACCAGGAGATCCTATGGGTCACAGGCCGGTCAGCGGCAGAGCCCAGTCTCACCCAGAATCAGAGCCGCCCCCACCCTGGGCCCTGGCAGCAGCCCCTGGCCGTGCTGGGTGCGCAGGCTCAGCCTCTCCCCCACTCTCAATCTGTCTTTGTTCTCCCTGCTCCTGGGAAGGCAGCTGCTAGTGGGGATGTGGGCTGGGGGCAGGGACCACGGAGCCTGGCTTATGGGCAGGCAGCGGGCAGCCGTCCTGTCCTGGCACAGGCAGGGTGGGGGCTGGACACCCTGGGGCCTAGCGAGGCACACAGCAATCAGGACCTGAACCCTGCAGCTGGGGCCTGGCTCCAACCAGCTGCTGCCCTTCCCCTCCCAGGTTGAGAGATGCCTTTTCTGAGGACAGAGGAGGGACCTGGGGGCCTCGGAGGGAGGCATCTCTGAGTGTGTCTGGTCTCGAGGGAGGAAACCCAAGTGGGACATTTCTGGTGTTGACCTCCTGGTCTTCATGCTCCTGGCCACCTGCCCCCATTGCCCAGCAGACCCCCTGCAGGGTACGTCTGGGGTCTGCGATAGGCCACCCCTGGGCTCATGCCACCTGCAGGGCCTGATCAGGCCCTGTGCCCTCCCCAGTCCCTAACCACAGATCTGCACACGTCACTCCCAGCCACAGCCATAGTAGGTGCTGGCAGGCCCTCAGACAGACTCAGGAAGTACTTCCAGTGCAGCCGCTGGTCCCCCCACGCCTCTCCCTGGGCCCCCAGACTCCAGCCCAGACCCCCGAGAAAGCCAGAGGTGACCAGGCCCTCAGGGAGCACCCCGTTGGCCCTGCTCTTTGTGCAGTGGAGACACTGTGGCCTGGAGAAGGTGACTGGCGAGCCGCCCGCCCACCCCAGCCCTGCACACCCTCAGTGCAGGTGGAAGCGAGAGCCTGGCTTCCTGGTGTGGGGCCACCGCCCTTCCTGTCCTCCCTTGCCTGGGCTACGCTTGCCGACCCTACTCCCAGTGAGCCCTCCTTCCAGTGAGCTGGGGCATTTCCTGTTTGCTGCATCCCCCCCACCCCCCCCTACAGACAGAGCCACCCTCCTCCCTGTGGCTTCCACAGGGCTCTGTTCCTAACCCAGGAAGACGTACCTCCCCCAGGCCTATTGTCTGCCCCAGATCCTGGGGACACAGAGAGCCCAGCTGTAGCCTGGCTCCCGGACCAGTGGTGTCCCCTGGCATTCAGTGCTGGCCAGCCCGGACCCCCAGCCACCTCCACCAACACTTGCCAGAGTGCCATGAAGGACCCCTGGCTCCCAGCTCTCTCCCTGGGTGACCCAAGCAGGGGCTGCCGCCGCTCTGAGCCCAGCTTCCCTCTGGGAGATGTTGCTGCTGTCTTTTGATCATTTTGCTTGCTTTCTTCCTCAGTAGCAAACAACCATATTCATCCTAGATGCAGCTTTGGTTAGTGATTGGGCAGGTGTCCTGGTGGCATCGCACACACCATGTGATTGAACTCCGTCACCATGTGGCTGCTTCCCATCTTTGTCTTCTGATCATGACGCTGCTGAGAGCATCTTTCTACCTACCCACTCCCAGGGGGCCCTTCTGTCCTGCTGTGGGTCCCCACAGTGGCCCAGGGGGCCCTCTTTGCACAACAAGCAGAGTTCAAGAGGGCTTTGGAGGCAGGAGTCTCACACTGCATCCAGATCTTGGGGACTGCAGGCAGCATGAGGGCTAGAGTGCTTCTTGGGTGTAAGATGAGCCAGGGGACAGTGAGGACACAACCAGCCCTCACTGAGGCCCAGTGCGCCCCATGCCCCTGGACAGGTGGCAACGGGTGGACCCCCATCCTCGCCTGCCTTGAGACCCCCTGTATACAGGCCCTCCCTGGGCCTTGCCGGCAGTCGGTGAGCCACCAAGTTAGTGGAAGTCCCTCAAGGGGCTGTTGGCCGGGTGGGGAAGGTGACACATGCCGGAGGCTCAAAGGAGCTGGTAGTCTGAGTGGGAGGGAGGGGAATGGGGGTCATGGTAGGACAGGCTCAGCTCCAGGTGCCTCCACCGCCCTGCAGGGCCTGGGCTGCCTAGAACCCCGGGGTGCTGCCAGGAACGCGTGCAGTTCTGGAGATCCATGGGTTGCCAAGCAGTGGAAAAATTTGGGCTCTTGGAGGAGCTAAAAATACAGTGTGGCAGCCCCTGCCTCCTAGTTCCGGAATCCTCTCCTGCCGTTCTGCCCGCCCACCCCGTGGAAGACAAGTTCCCTCCCTGCACCCTCACCACCAACGCTGGCTCAGGGCCCAGAAGCATCCATCCCTGTGCCAGTGCCAGAAGGGCCACACTGCGGCTGCCTGCCCACTCCCAGGCAGTGGCCCCCGCAGGCGCTCATGTGCCCAGCCGGTGCCTGCCCTACCCACGCCTCTGCTTCAGGATCCCCAGAGCCCCTTGGTCCCAGGCACACAAGGCAGTACCTGCCTCCCCAGGGCTGTCCGGCTCAGGGCTTGGCCTGTTCCTCGTGGGGAGCCTGGACTCAGGCAGACCTCTCCCTTCCCTACCAGTGGGGCCTTCACACGGGAGGGGGCTGTTCCAGGCAGACTCAGAACATGTCACAGTGGGGCCTCCAAGCCCACTGGTGCTGGCTGAGGGCATAGGACCCACCACACGGTGCTGTGGAAGGCCCTCCTCGCCTGGTTCCTGGGAGGCAAGTGAGGGAGCCGAGGCCTGGGGGCTTCAGGGGCTGGCTCAGGTCCCTCAGGTACCCAGGATTCAGGCCTGGGTACCCTAACCCCAGCCCGTGTGCCACTCAGGGTCATGGGCCCATGCAGGAGCCCCCAGCTACTCTCCACAGCTCGGGGCTGGGCCTGCCTCAAGAGCCCACACTCCCCGGCTCTGGTTTTCTGTCTGCACCGCAGGGGCTGGGCACATGGCCTCAGGTCTAGTGAGGGCCAGCGATGTCCCTGTCCCCACCCACACCACACACTCAGCTTGACTGCTGACTGCCAGGCGGGGCAGTGGCCCAGCGGCTTCCCGAGTGTCAGTGCAGCTGCCCTAGCGTGTAGGCATTCGGATGGAGGTGCTGGCAGCACCACACCAGGCTGGCCAGGCCCAGGCCCAGAGGGGGACCCTGCCTGCAGGAGCTGGAGTCTGAGGGGAGAGGCGTGGCCCTGTCCTCTGGAAGCCCCACGCTAGTGCTGAAGAACCACGGTGACGTCCCACTAGCGTGGGTGGGGTGAGCCCCTCAGACCTCAGGGTCCTCGTCTGCAGAAGACCTGCCCTGTGCGGTTCCGTTGGTGCCGGTGGACTGCTGGGGGTGGGGTGGATGGGACACCCCTTCTTGGTGTCCTGACCCTTTTGCTGTCTGAGGCGTGGGGTCTGGCCTGAGCCATGGGTACTGGGCCCTGCAGAGCCTGGATGGTCCTGCCCTGCCTCAGCCAGAGTTGGTGTCGGCTGTAAAAAAGATTGCGAAGAACGCAAATTCCTGTGCCTGTGGGGAGGTGGCCACGCCCTACAGCCGGGGCTGGGGAGCTCTGAGGACACATTCCTGTGCTGGTGGCCCCGCCAACCCACTTTCCAGATGGACAACAGAGAAGGGCAGCCTGCCCCGGGGCACACAGCTCAGCAATGAGACTCCCGCCCCCTGCCCTTCTCAGTTGGCACTGGCACCTTCCAGGGTATTGTTCCCCGTAGCCCCGTGCCCCTGAGATTAGTACACTGTGGGTTCCTTCTGGAATCCTTGCAGAAGTGGACACCACCCCCCAGTAAAAACAGGCAAGGCTGTTTGTGCAGAGCTGGCTGTAGCAGGGAGTCGGCCACTGCCACCCGCGTTTAGCAGATACTCAGGCGGGCGGGGCAGTGGGAAGCCTCATGGTTTTCTCATGGATATTTCACTCTATACATAGAAAGCTTTTTATAGACAAAGGGAAGGCTCGGGGATGCCCTGAGAGAGGCTGCTGGCTGGAAGTCGGGCTCCTATGATGGGACAAAAATCACAGAAGTTGTCAGTTATTAACGAGGTCCCGGCCGTTTGGGGCCAGTGGTCAGATTGCAGGTCAGACTGCTGCATATATGGTCTGGCCGTGGTGTGTTTGCAGGTTCAGCCTCATGCTGAAAAGCAGTTGGAACATTCCCCATCGTAGAGACCGGGGGGCGCAGATGAGATCGGGCAGCCTTGGTGGCATCGCAGAAGGAGGAAGGCAGCTCTGGTCTCATCCTCCAGGTCCTCAGCTGGAACCCTGTCTGTGCTGGGCCGTAGCCCAGCAAGGCCCTGCTACACTCACTGCCCCCAGACAGCACCTGGTGGGGCACGGTCAACCGGGGCAGCTCAGACACAGAGCTGGGCACCCAGGCATAGGGGTATGGAAAGCTGATGGGCAGGAGGGCCAGTTTCCTCCCACCGTGGCTCCACCCCACTGACCAAGGGGGCTCCTCTTGACTGGGGTCTTTCAGGGACTTGCACAGGGCAAGGAGCACTGGGCAGTGCCAAGAGGGGCAGTACTCAGATCAGGGAGCACCTTTGAGTCCAGGGACACCCTGGGGCCTGGGGCACAGGTGGCTCGCGGAGGCACTGCTTGTCTCTAAAAGGTCAGGATTTTTTGCGTGGAGGGACCCCTGGGGCTCTTGGCTGGAGAGGACACTCTGGATGCCAGGGGCCGGGCCTGGGAGAGTTCATAACTCCGTCCGCTCAGCCTGTGCCAAGGAGACTCTGGCCAATGGACGCGGGGGAGGAAAGGAGGGTCAGTTCTGGGGCCTCTTTAGGCAGCAGCAGCCAAGGTGGGTGGGAATACGTGCAGAGACTCGGCTGCCTGGCTCTTCATGGTGGCGGGAGCAACCCCTACTGCTACCAGGAGGGGCGTTGGGGACCCGGGTGGCTCTGGCAGCTCAGCGGTCCGCAGCAATGAGAAGCCAGGGGAGCGTGAGGAGCAGCCCAGGGCAGGGCCCAGAGTGGGTGGGCAGAGGCGGCCGGAAGGTCCTGCGCATCTGGGTGAGTGGATAGCCACTGGGTGACCAAGAGGGCCGGGCCTGGGAGGGCAGCTTAAAACCACAGTGGGCCAGGGGCTCCGGGCTCTCTGCTGTACAGTGCCCAGACCAGGACCCCCTGCCGGGAGGACGGGCATCCCAAGGACAGCCTCTCAGGATGCTCCTGGCAGCCTGATGCTGGAGGTGCGGAGGAGGAAACTGAGGCCTAGGCAGGATGAGTGACTGGGCCCAGGTCTGCTGGTGAGGGCCCGAGCTGGGGACTCGCAGATCAGAGCTCTGGCTTACACCTGTCAGGCTGCCTCCTGGAAGGAACCCGCTGGCCCCCCGGGGCAGTTGAACAGGTGGAGGGCTGAGGGGTGGTGCGGGGAGTAGGGGCTGGACTGCCGGAAACACCAGGCTTGGTCGTGGGCCAGGCTGGGGAGTGGGCCTGAGACCTCAAGGGCAGGTGCTCCAGGACACTCTCCCAAGGCAGGAGGGGAGGAATGGGGCCTCCAGCGGTGAGGACAGCAGCGGGGCTGGGGCCAGAGCCGCCTGGGGAGGCAGGCGCTTGGGTTCTCAACCCCGCTTGGCTTCTGTGACCTCAAATGCCCCTCGGCCGGGGGTCCCCTGACTTACCAGGCTGTGCATGCGGGACCTCCAGTCACAGCGCAGTCGTGCCCAGGTGAGGGACTGTGGGCACAGACCCAGCTTCTCTGGGACCCAGCCGCCTCCAGTTCCCCACCTGTGGCAGGAGGTATAAAGTGCCTGCCTTGGAGGTGGTGGGAAGCCAAGGGCCAGGGTGGAGAGTGCTGGGCCAGGGTGGAGGCTCAGAGCGTGTCCCTGCCAGGCCCGGCCCCCGAGCTCCCTCCCCGAGGCTCCACGCAGCCGTTCTCAGACGCTAAATATAAGATCTGAGCCATACATGGTTGCAGGAGGGCCTGGGATGCCCCTGACCTTCGAGGCCAGTTCCCAGGGTCTGTGGCTGGGGACAGCGGCTGGGGAGATGTGGTGGCGTGGAGCTGATGTCAGAGGTGCAACCGCCTGTCCTGCTGTTCTGTTTTGGGGAAAGGCACATGTTGGGGCTCTTCTGGGCTGGGCCTGTTACCAGGGTGTTCCCAGGGCTGAAGTCAGACCTGTTGCGACTGAATTCTGGTTAAACCCTGAGTGCCAAGGGTCTCCGTCTTCCTGTTGGTGTGAGCCCCCCACCCACATGCAGATGGGCAGACTGAGGCCCAGGGGAGACCCGGGAGCCGCCTCTTCTCCCCAGCCATGCTCTTGACGCTGTGGGCAGCCCAGGCAGTGCCTGAGGTTTGGAATCTCCCTGTCCATATTGTCCACTGGGGCCGGGGAAGTGCCCTGGGGTGAGATAAGGGAGCCTCAGATGTGCCGTTTTGTTGCATCATGACCACGGGTAGTGTTCCAGCCAGTGGAGCCTCCCGCTCCCCCCAGTCCTTCCCAAGCTCATCCGGTCCTGTCAAGTCGCAGGGGCCGTGCTGGCCTCGGAATTTCGGTGCAGGTTTCTGAGCCGGCTCCTCCCCTCCTAGCTCTGAGCCTGGGGGTCCACATGCGTGCAGTGGGGCCCTTCCTGCCTGCCGCCTCAGTTGCCGAAATTCGGTCAGGGATGAGTACAGGGAAGCCTAAGATATAGTGGGGGACACAGAGCTATTCCTAACCCTCAGCATGGCACGTGAGCAGGAATTGCAGCAGAGAAACTGAGGCTGAAGGATGTGGCCAGGAGGACAGCCCCCATCCCCTCCCCGCTGACGGCTCCCTGCCCTCTGCCCGCAGCTCAGCAAGATGTCGGTGAAGGAGGGCGCACAGCGCAAGTGGGCAGCGCTAAAGGAGAAGCTGGGGCCACAGGACTCGGACCCCACAGAGGCCAACCTGGAGAGCGCGGACCCTGAGCTGTGCATCCGGCTGCTCCAGATGCCCTCTGTGGTCAACTACTCTGGCCTGCGCAAGCGCCTGGAGGGCAGCGACGGCAGCTGGATGGTGCAATTCCTGGAGCAGAGCGGCCTGGACCTGCTGCTCGAGGCGCTGGCGCGGCTGTCGGGCCGCGGCGTGGCACGCATCTCGGATGCCCTGCTGCAGCTCACCTGCGTGAGCTGCGTGCGCGCCGTCATGAACTCGCGGCAGGGCATCGAGTACATCCTCAGCAACCAGGGCTACGTGCGCCAGCTCTCCCAGGGTGAGCCACAGTGCGGGAGGGCCTCCCAGGCGGACACTAGGGACCTGGTATGAGGCTTCAGCCTGGGGACCCACCAGGAGGAAGGCAGCCAGACAGGCAAGGAGGGCTTCCTGGAGGACTGGCTTCCTGGGCTCAGGAAAAACATCCACATACACTCCTAATCTGAGGCTTCCAGGTCACCCCAGTCCCCGCACTGCTGCACCAGCGGTCCCCTTGTGCCCCCCTGTGTTCTGTGGCTCTGCTCCACCCTTCCTCCCCATCCTGTGCTGGCTCCCACCCTCTGGCCTCTCTGCCCTTGTCCACACCTCGGCGGCAGGAGTCACCTGAGTTAGAGATGCAAATCCACCCAAGTGGCTCCTACATACACCTGCCTGGCTCCAAACCCTTCAGCCTCAGCCTAGACAGAGCCCTTCAGGTCTGGCCCACATCTACTGATGGTGTCACCCTCCACCTCCCAGCGCCTTCCCCAGCGTCTCCCTCCCTGCCCTGTCCCCTACTCCAGCACCCAAGGACCTCGTCCCCGGCAGGCAGGCCTCTTGTCTCTGCCTCTGCTCATGTTTTCTGCCTTTGTGTCTTCCAAGGTCCTGAACTAAGCCCTTAAGCCCCAGCTCCCTTTCCCCTCCTCCAGGAAGTCTCCCCAGCCTGTGCCCAAAGTTAGTCCTGGCCCCTTGAGAGAACCCCTTGCTGTGCCGCTCCATGGCTGCTGCCAGGTCCCACCGATGCTTGGGGATGAGCTAGGGTGGGCAGTGATGGGCAGGGCGGGACCCACGGGGCAGCAGGTACCTATGCAGGCAAGCAAGCCAGAGGCACCTCGTTTCTGTTGGACCCAGAGGACAGAGGCAGGTGCAGGGACCAGCCACTCTCGGCCTGTCTCCCCAGCCTGGGCCTGGCAGGGCTCCTCTATGGAGTCTTTTGTGAATTGTTCTCAGCAGGGTCAGATGAGAGACACCCCCAGAACTTTCACAGCTCCAGGGATGGGGTGGGAGGCAGGGGTTCATAGGAATGAGGTTATGTCTGCCGTAAACACAGTAAGTGCTGCATTGGGAGAAAACCTGGGCCCAGAGCCAGTGACAGGATGGGGCGGCTGCCTCCAAGCCCTTCCCTGCAGGGTCTGGCCCTGTGGTCCAGGAGCAGAGTCAGGACACCGAGGAGTGGGCAGCTCGTTGGGTCCCAGCCCTTTGTTCAGCACCGCGGTGGGCCACGGACAAGTGCCCGGCACCCCCTGGCCTCTGCCTGCCAGGCCCAGAGCCCCAGCCCTGAGCCCAGCTGCACAGGCATAGGAAAGGGTGCATTGGCCCTGCTGAGCCTGCCCACTCCACCCTGGCAGCCCTGGACACATCCAACGTGATGGTGAAGAAGCAGGTGTTTGAGCTGCTGGCCGCCCTGTGCATCTACTCTCCCGAGGGCCACGCACTGACCCTGGACGCCCTGGACCACTACAAGGTGGGTGGCAGGGCCTGGGCCTGAGCACGTGGGACTCCCTGCCTGGGTGTGCCCTGACCCTGCCCTCCCCGCAGACGGTGTGCAGCCAGCAGTACCGCTTCAGCATTGTCATGAACGAGCTCTCCGGCAGCGACAACGTGCCTTACGTAGTCACCCTGCTCAGCGTGATCAACGCCGTCATCCTGGGCCCCGAGGACCTGCGCACGCGCACCCAGCTGCGGAATGAGTTTATCGGTAAGCGCCTGCCCTGGGCTGCATGCCCGCTCCTGCCCACCTCCTGGCCAGTGCATCTCATGCTGCCATCCACCTGGGGAGATGGGAGCACCACAAAACCTGCCCCCGGCCCAGGGTCCCAGAGGAAGGCACCATCTCGGGCCTGCCACCACCTGCGCCTTCGATGGACATGGGCCTCAGAACGCCTGGGGGTCAATCCTGGACCGTTCTCAGTTACGAGGCTGGCCAGGCAGTGGAGTGGGACAGGGGGCTTGAGACCTGGTTCCCACCCTGCCTGTTCTGAGCCCTGAGTAAGCATCACTGTGTGTCCAGCGTGACGTCTCCCCTCATGTCTCCCCTCTGGAGCCTCAGGTCTCTGGTGTCCCGTGACTGCAGCAGAGCAGGCCGGGTGCTCTGGGTGGCAGAAGTGAACTGGGGACGGTGGGGTGTGGCCTCCAAACCCTCTGACCCTGTCCGTCCCTTTGCAGGGCTGCAGCTGCTGGATGTCCTGGCTCGCCTGCGGTGAGTCCCCACTGTGGTGGTCCTGCCGGCTGCCCCTACTGCTCCCAGGGCCAGGCCCACCTGCCCTTTGGATCCCAGCCACCTCACCTAAGCAGCATCTCCAGATGGCAGGGAGGTGGCTCCCCCGGAGTAACCCCAGGGGGTCCAGCCAGAAGCCAGGTCTCAGGCTAGAGTCCAGCTCACTGTCCCTGGCAGCTGCCTACAGAAACTAGGGTTGCAGCAGCCATAGAAAGGACAGATGAGCTCATATCCTTTGCACACCGTGGATGGAGCTAGAGGCCGTGATCCTAAGTGAACCAACCCAGAAACAGAAACTGAAATGCCAGTAAGAGGGAACTACAGGGTGATTCACGTGGATGCAAGATGGAGACAGGACACGGGCTTCAGGAGCGAGAGTTGAAAAACTACCTACAGGCACAGTGTTCATTGCTACTTGGTGTCAGGCCCACTAGAACAAGGGTCCCCAACCCCCCAGCTGTGGACCGGTAGATGGCTTGTTGGAACCGGGCCATGCAGCAGAAAGTGAGTGGTGGGCAGGCATTCCCGCCTGAGCTCCGCCTCCCGTCAGATCAGCACTGCATTAGATTCTCACTGCGCACACACACGAGGGATCCAGGCTCCTCATGACAATCTAATGCCTGATGATCGGGGGTGGAACAGGTTTATCCCTAAACCATTCCCGTCACCCCAATCTATGGAAAAATTGTCTTCCACAAAACCAGTCCCTGGTGCCGGAAAGGCTGGGGACCACTGCCCTAGAAGGCTAATCCCCTACGTTACACAGTGTACCATGTGGCAAACATGCACAAGTACCCCCTGAGTCTAAAATAAATTTTTTTAAAAAAAGAAACTAGGGTTGCCAGGTACTGTATGGGACATGAAGTTCATTCAGGTTTCAATACACAACAGACAATGTTTTTGTGTAAATATATCCCAGATGTTGCATGGGATATACTTATGCCAAAAGTTACTCGTTGTTTGTCTGAAATTCAAATTGAACAGGTACTCTGTAGTTTCATTTGCTAAATCTTGCAGCCCTGCTGAGAACCCACATAGCTGGGAAGCTCTATCCCAGGCCTCAGTCAGGACTGTACTCAGGGGAGTCAGCTTGGAGGAGCCCAGGGCTAGAACGCCTTGTGTTGAAATGGCCTCGGGAGCCAGGCACAGTGGCTCACACCTGTATTCCCAGCACTTTGGGAGGCCAAGATGGGCAGATCACCTGAGGTCAGGGGTTCGAGATCAGCCTGGCCAACGTGGTGAAACCCCATCTCTACTAAAAGTACAAAAATTAGCCAGGCATGGTGGCATGTGCCTACAATCCCAGCTACTTAAGAGGCTGAGGCAGAATCGGTGGATACCAGGAGGTTGCAGTGAGCCGAGATCATACCACTGCACTCCAGCATGGGTGACAGAGTGAGACTCCATCTCAAAAAAAAAGAAATGGCCTCAGGGAAAGTTTGCCCGCATGAGTGCCTGTGCTCCGCCAGTGTGGGCTGAAGGGGGCCGGCTCTGCCTGCAGAGGGCTCTGCTCATTGACGAGACTGAGATGACTGGCAAGTCCTAGGCCCAGTGAACACTAAGGTCCCTCCTGCTCAGGCCAGAGCCCCGCCCCTCCTGTATCCATGCAGCCCTGTGAACCCACCTCAGGTGTGGTCCTCACTGTGGCCACACAGCTCCCAGAGGAGGGCCTTCCCTCCCCCAAGGTCACGGCCCGGTTCCATTGTGTGCCACCTCCCCAGGCCTTAGTGCATGTTACTCGAAGGGAGTGGGAATACTCGCCCTTCCCCTTCCCGGGGGCATGCGGCTGCCCGGTGACCTGGGGGCAGCCTGTCAGGGCGCAAGGCACTGACCTGGGAGCTGCCACTCTTAGCCCACCATCCCTGGCTATGTGGGCCACATGTCAGCCACAGCTGGCCACGAGCTGGCTCAGAGTCCCGGGTGGGCTGAGCAGGGCTGGTACACTGGCGCCGACCCGGGCTGCCCCATCTACGTGTTGGTGGCAGCAGCAGCAGGCTCAGCCCACCTGGCATCTCCCACACAGAGACCTGGAGGATGCCGACCTGCTGATCCAGCTGGAGGCCTTCGAGGAGGCTAAGGCTGAGGACGAGGAGGAGCTGCTGCGAGTCTCTGGTGGGGTCGACATGAGCAGCCACCAGGAAGTCTTTGCCTCCCTGTTCCACAAGGTGGGCTGGGGGCTGGAGGCTCGGAGGGCAACCCTCCATTGCAGGCTGTGGCCCTGAGGTCCAGAGGCTGGGCCTGGAACGGTCCTCCCTGCCCTGGTCAGACCCTGCTGTGACCTGGCCGTGGCGCCAGCTCTGGGGTGAGACTCCAGGGAGCAGCAAGGGGCCAGGGGTTGGAAAGGGAGCTGGTGCCTAGAGTGGGCAGCCTGGGGGCAAAGCCAGGGCCTCAGGACCCAGAAGGACGAGGCTCCAAAGACCAGTGCGGCCCACAGCCGGCTGTACTGTCCTGGGCCCCAGCTACCCAGTCCCCATCAGGTGGGATTCAGAGGCCTCAGGGCCTGGTGAGGGGCTAAGAGGCTGAATTCCCGTCAAACTCAGGCCCTCCCTTCGTTCCCTGAACCTGGCAGCTCTCATCTGGGGGGCAGTTGTGTCCCCAGGTGGCATCTGGCAACATCTGAAGACATTTTTGGCTGCCATGACTAGGCAGGGGGTACTATTGCATTGAGTAGGTTGAGACCAGGGGTTCTGTTTAACATCCCATAATGCACAGGACAGTCCCACATGTCACCAGTACCACAGTCGCTGAGGGTCTCATCTCTAGGGATCCGTGGGAATAGAGGGGGTGATGGGGCTGGATGCCCTGGCAGATGGGCCAACAGTTCTCAGTCCACCGGGGAGGGGTCGGCTGCTGACCCGCACCCCACACTCGCCCGTCCAGGTGAGCTGCTCCCCGGTGTCCGCCCAGCTCCTGTCAGTGCTGCAGGGCCTCCTGCACCTGGAGCCCAGCCTCCGCTCCAGCCAGCTGCTCTGGGAGGCCCTGGAGAGCCTGGTGAACCGGGCCGTGCTCCTGGCCAGCGATGGTGAGGGGGTGGGGCAGGGGTGTAGGCACAGCCTGGTGGGCAGACACTGGGGTCTTAGACCACGGGGGAGGGGGCCTGTCCTTGGCCCCAACCCATCCTCTGCCTAGCGGAGGTGGCCACTTTTTCCTGCCTCCTCCTCAAGCCCCCATCCCTCCCTCCCCCGCTCCCTTCTCGCTTGACCCTGGACATCCCCTACTGCAGCCCAGGAATGCACCCTGGAGGAAGTGGTTGAGCGGCTTCTGTCTGTCAAGGGGCGACCCAGACCGAGCCCCCTGGTCAAGGCCCATAAAAGCGTCCAGGCCAACCTAGGCCAGAACCAGAGGGGCAGCTCCCCGCAAAACACTACAACCCCCAAGCCCAGCGTGGAGGGCCAGCAGCCAGCAGCAGCTGCTGCCTGTGAACCCGTAGACCACACCCAGAGTGACAGCGTCCTGAAAGTTTCGCAGCCGAGAACCCTGGAGCAGCAGGCGTCCCCTCTTCCCCCATCCACCCCCCTGCTCCCTGGTTCCAGTGCTGAGCCCCCT